TGGGTTCCACGCCAAAAAAGCACCTCCTGTTGGTGGGTCGCTTGGGTGGTTAACCGCACGAAAAAAATGGTGACCGGTTGGGCGCGATAGAAACACCGGTTCTTTCGGGGGACAACCTGCAGGCGACCAAGACTTTACGTGGGTTGGAAATTTCCGACATTTACGGGCGCAACGAGCAGTTCCGAAAAGAGTTTTTAACGGAGTCAGCGGGGTCGCTGACAGTATCCGTGCCGACGGCTGATTGCAGCGTCGCTTGATTAAGCGCGTGAAGGCACTCATCGTCAAATGTGTAGCCGTACAAATCGGAAGCTCCTCGGGGGTACTAGCCGCAACACGAGGGAAAATTTTGCAACAGGTGGAGGGAGAAGGCGACAGCTGTTTTCGCCCCTGCCCGGAGGTTTTCGGCGAGTCACGACAACACCGACAATGCAGGTGACGTCATCGACAGTTCGAGTTCAACTTTGAAAACATATTTGCGAGGTCAGGGGGGAGAGCAGCAACTATTTTTCGCCTCTGCCCGGTACTTCTCAGCGAATATCGACAAATGCCTCGGCGATTCTGGACAAGACTGCCAGGGGCGCTGACAGCTGGAGAAGCTACAGAGAGGATTTTCGACACTGCAACAAGACAAACGGCAGCAATTTCGGGACTGCAGCAGCTGACAACTGAAGATACTGCGGCAGCAGGGTGATTCGGTGCTGCCACGCGGAGATATTTGGGTGGCGGTCTTTTCCAAGAGGGGGGAGAAAGTGCTCTCGCACTGTACTTGTCAGTTTTTTCTGACTTATTGTCTGACAGATTCAGCACGACGGACGCCGCGATCACATCAACGACATCGACGGGTCCTGCTTCATTGACTTCTAACAACGCGTCAGCATATCCGCCCACGACGTGTTCATCTTGACCGTCCGACAGAGATCCACCACATCGACGGTTCTTATTCATCAACGGCTTTTCAACTCGACATTCGAATTCAACCGCCCGATCGTTATCGGCAGTATCAACGGCTGACATTCCAACTCTTTGAATTTCGCCTGGTCAACGCGTTCAGCCACGCGTCAACTTCACAGTCAACGACGTCTACACCGTCAGATCCGTTTCAACCGAGGTCTGCAGTTTTCACGCTACTGCAAGACTCGGCTCCGTATAAGGGGGCCTTATCTAGAAGGTGGGAGAGTGTAATGAATATGCAATTCATTACTGTAGAGGCTGCTCCTAGCGAGAACAGCCCGAGCACTTCGCGTCAGGATGGCTCGTCCTACACTTTCGCACCGAGCCAATTCCGAGTCGCCCCGCACCAATCGCGACATTTCCGAGCCACACACATCTAGAGGTTCTCGCCTAGCTAGTTTTCGCCCTATATATTCTCGCTTTCTTCATTGTTTCGTCATTCTGTAATCACGTCTTCTTTATAAAGTCTTCCGCGCACTCTGTCTAGTAAAACTCATAACAAAAGCACTTGATTGAAGTGGTTACCTTGTGACTCAAAACGACGCGGGGGTTTGGTTGGAAGTACAGAAACATACCTTGCGACACCCAAAACACACCAAGCGACTGACGCCCAACACTACTGGTCGCACGCACACTCAACCACACACTCAAATGCAACTGCACAACAAGCACTGCCTTACATGAGATTATGACTGCGCCTAGTGTGAAACCTACTCGCCGCCTCCCAGGCGATTAGCGTAGCAACCCAAGCACACAAACTACTAACGACCGTCCCGACGCGCACACGTCCTTTCCACTACCCCGCGCGATAAACACATCGAAATTCGTCCAGACCAAGGCGGGGAATCAACAATGCGCCACGGGAGGCGCCGTAGGCGCAATGCACACGAAGCAGCCCACAGTCGCGCAATGACCGAAAACCGAAAACGTGCAGGTAGGCAACGACACGACGAGTAGGCAAGCTTAGCCTAAAGTCTGGGGTACACCATCGCAACCCTGACCGAGTTCGCGACCAGCATCGTGCACATCCGCAGGAGCGTGCGCGTTCCAGCGGAAGGAGGTCCCATATCGCGCCAAGCATGCATTGCTGGACATAAAAAAAAGACCGCCGAAAGGGGAGTGCAATACAACAAGGGCTGATGCCGAGCATCTCGGACAAAAGCATACGCTAGACGGGAATGCCTATCACGCAAATGACCCAGCACCGCGCAAACCAGGCCAGCGCCGCGCATATCAGGACAGCGCCGCGCATATCTGGACAGCGCCGCGCATATCTGGACAGCGCCGCGCATATCTGGACAGCGCCGCGCATATCTGGACAGCGCCGCGCATATCTGGACAGCGCCGCGCATATCTGGACATTCCCGCCTGGTCCGCACTCACACATTCCCGCCTGGTCCGCACTCTCACATTCCCGCCTGTCCCGCACTCTCGCTCACCCCCCTGTTCCGCACTCTCACATTCCCCCCTGTTCCACACTCTCACATTCCCCCCTGTTCCGCACTCTCACATTCCCCCCTGTCGCTCACTCTCGCATACCCACCTGCCTGTCATAGGCACTCACACATTCCCTCGTGGCCAGCACTCTCCCATTCCCACGGGCCCAGCACCCTAACATTACCTCCTATCCCGCACTCTCACATCCCCTCCTCGCCCGCACTCTCTCATTCCCTCCTATCCCGCACTCTCTCATCCCCTCTTCTCCCGCACTCTCTCATTCCCTCCTATCCCGCACAGTCTCATTCCCTCCTATCCCGCACTCTCTCATTCCCTCCTATCCCGCACTCTCTCATTCCCTCCTATTCCGCACTCTCTCATTCCCTCCTATCCCGCACTCTCTCATTCCCTCCTATTCCGCCCTCCCTCATTCAGGCCTGTCCCGCACTCTCGCATACCCCTTCCTGGCCCACTCACATACCCCCTCACCCGCACTCACATTCCCCCCTGTTCCGCACTCTCACAGTCCAGCCTGGACCGCACCGCACTCTCGCATTCCCCCCTCTTCCGCACTCTCACATACCCCCCTGTTCCGCACTCCCACCCTCCCCCCTGTTCCGCACTCTCACATTCCCCCCTGTTCCGCACTCTCACATTCCCACCTGTTCCGCACTCTCAAATTCCCCCTGTTCCGCACTCACACATTCCCCCTTTTCCGCACACTCACATTCCCCCTGTTCTGCACACTCACATTCCCCCTGTTCCGCACAATTACATACCCCCCTGTTCCGCACTCCCACCCTCCCCCCCTGTTCCGCACTCTCACATTCCCCCTGTTCCGCACTCTCCCATTCCCCCCTGTTCCGCACTCTCACATTCCCCCTGTTCCGCACTCTCACATTCCCCCCTCTTCCGCACTCTCAAATTCCCACCTGTTCCGCACTCTCAAATTCCCCCTGTTCCGCACTCACACATTCCCCCTTTTCCGCACACTCACATTCCCCCTGTTCTGCACACTCACATTCCCCCTGTTCCGCACAATTACATACCCCCCTGTTCCGCACTCCCACCCTCCCCCCCTGTTCCGCACTCTCACATTCCCCCTGTTCCGCACTCTCCCATTCCCCCCTGTTCCGCACTCTCACATTCCCCCTGTTCCGCACTCTCACATTCCCCCCTCTTCCGCACTCTCAAATTTCCCCTGTTCCGCACTCTCAAATTCCCCCTGTTCCGCGCTCTCAAATCCCCCCTGATGAATCCTTATCCTTGTGGCTGTTATTGTACAGGCACGCCACTGGGACTATATGAAGCCGATTCTTAGTTACCACAATTTGTGTAAAATACTAATACTTCCAGTCATTATCAAGTCTGTAACTTGTTTTACATTGAATAAAGTCTTAGGGCGTATTCCTATCCTCCTATCAAGAAAACCTCCTATCAAGCTCTCACTGGAAAATTCCCTAAACCCAAAATCTCTCGCTACTTTTACCAGGCAAAATGTACAATCTTGATAGGAGGTTTCTTGATAGGAGGCCGTAGGAATACGCCCTTAGTTGTGGCAGATGCGTAGAACAGCTTCCACCGTTCGGGAGTTGTCGACCATGTCCCCTTGGCTCTCTTGGGCCAGCTCTAACTCCTCTATAGCCCACTTCTCGAGGACACAACTCTGCTTGGGATTGGCCCGCGCAAATTCTTCTAGGGACCAGGTTTCGCTCGCATCCAGTAAAACAGGGGGTTTGCCCGTGGGCATTCGGGAGCGTCGCATTAGAGGCCTGTTACGGGCTAGCTGGAGGTTTGCTAGCCTTCTCCCTCTCCTCATTCCACCACCCACTAATGGGCGATTCATCCTTGACTTTCTGTGGTCGTCGCTGTCCGGATCACTCTCCAATTCATCGGTGAGCCGTGTGCCCAGAGTCAATCCCCTGTGTCGTGTGCTCCGACCCCTGTTCATCCTGGATGAGCCACAGTGGGTGGGTATGCAAATGGAGAGTTGGGGACAGGACAGGGTGGAAATGAATTCGAACATTTCAAGCTGAGCCGTGGATGCACCGGAGCTGTGAAACAGTGGGGGAAGGGGAGTGAGCAGTGGGGGAAGGGGTGTGAACAGTGGGAGAAGGGGAGTGAAACAGCGGGGGAAGTGGAGTGCAACAGTGGGGGAAGTGGAGTGGAAGCGTGGTGGAAGGGGAGTTGAGCCGAGGGGGATGGGGTGTGTAATGGTGGGGGATGGGGAGTGGAACGGTGGAGAATGGGGAGTGGAAGTGTGGGGGAAGGGATGTTCTGGCGTGGGGTAAGGGGAGTGGCAGCGTGGGGGAAGAGGCGTGGAAGCGTGGGGGAAGGGGAGTAGAGCCGTGGGGGTAGGGGAGTCTAACAGTGGGGGAAGGGTTGGGTAACAGTGGGGGAAGGGGTGTGAAACAGTGAGGGAAGGGGAGTGAAGCAGTGGGGGAAGGGGAGTGAAGCAGTGGGGGGGGGGGAGTGAAACGGTGGGGGAAGGGGAGTGAAACAATGAGGGAAGGGGAGTGAAGCAATGGGGGAAGGGGAGCGAATCAGTGGAAGTTGCCGATTTCGAAGTGTGGGGGAAGGGGAGTGGAAGCGTGAAGGGGTAGTGGTTCCGAATGGGGAAGGGGGGTGGAAGCGTGGGGGAAGGGAAGTGGAAGCGTGAGGGAACCGGAGTAAGGAGTGAGATCAGAGGGGATGGGAGATGCGCAATGAGATGGGGGGAGAGGACCGAATGGGGAAGGGGAGCGGAAGCGTGGGGGAAGGGAAGTGGAATCGTGGGGGAAGGGAAGTGGAAGCGTGGGGGAAGGGAAGTGGAATCGTGGGGGAAGGGAAGTGGAAGCGTGGTGGAAGGGGACTGGAAGATTGCGGGAAGGGGAGTGGCAGCGTGGGGGAAGGGGAGTGGCAGCGTGGGGGAAGGGGAGTGTAACGGTGGGGGGTGGGGAGTGGAACAGTGGGGGATGGGGAGTGGAACAGTGAGGGATGGGGAGTGGAACCCGTGGGAAGCATGGTAAAACCGAGAGGGAAAGGGTGTGTTACAGCGGGGGATGGGGAGTCTACAGTGGGGGATGGGGGGTGGAAGCGTGCGTGGGGGGAGGGGAGTAGTTAGGAGGGGGAAGGGGTGTGTAACGGTGGGGGATGGGGAGTGGAACATTGGAAGATGGGGTGTGGAAGTGTGGGGGAAGGGAAGTTTTGGCGTGGGGGAAGGGGAGGGGAAGCGTGGGGGAAGGGGTGTGGATGTTTGGGTGCAGGGGAGCATGGGTGCATGGGTAGTGAAACAGTGGGGGATGGGTAGTGAAACAGTGGGGGTTGGGGCGTGAAACAGTGGGGGATGGGGAGTGAAACAGTGGGGGTTGGGGCGTGAAACAGTGGGGGTTGGGTAGTGAAACAGTGGGGGTTGGGGCGTGAAACAGTGGGGGATGGGGAGTGAAACAGTGGGGTACGGGGAGTGGAAGGGTCAAGGAAGGGGGAATGGAAGGGTGGGGGAAGGGGAGTGAAAGCGTGGGGGAAGGGGAGTGGTAGCGGAGAGGAGGGGGAGTGGGAGCGTGGGCAGGGCACAGGGGAGCGTTAGAGCGGGGGAGCAGCGGGGCATGGGAGCAAGCGTGGTGCACGACGGGGGAGCAGCGGGGCGTGGGAGCAAGCGTGGTGCACAACGGGGGAGCAGTGGGGCGTGGGAGCAAGCGTGGTGCACAACGGGGGAGCAGCGGGGCGTGGGAGCAAGCGTGGTGCACAACGGGGGAGCAGCGGGGCGTGGGAGCAAGCGTGGTGCACAACGGGGGAGCAGCGGGGCGTGGGAGCAAGCGTGGTGCACAACGGGGGAGCAGCGGGGCGTGGGAGCAAGCGTGGTGCACAACGGGGGAGCAGCGGGGCGTGGGAGCAAGCGTGGTGCACAACGGGGGAGCAGCGGGGCGTGGGAGCAAGCGTGGTGCACAACGGGGGAGCAGCGGGGCGTGGGAGCAAGCGCGGTGCACAACGGGGGAGCAGCGGGGCGTGGGAGCAAGCGTGGTGCACAACGGGGGAGCAGCGGGGCGTGGGAGCAAGCGTGGTGCACAACGGGGGAGCAGTGGGGCGTGGGAGCAAGCGTGGTGCACAACGGGGGAGCAGCGGGGCGTGGGAGCAAGCGTGGTGCACAACGGGGGAGCAGCGGGGCGTGGGAGCAAGCGTGGTGCACAACGGGGGAGCAGCGGGGCGTGGGAGCAAGCGTGGTGCACAACGGGGGAGCAGCGGGGCGTGGGAGCAAGCGTGGTGCACAACGGGGGAGCAGCGGGGCGTGGGAGCAAGCGTGGTGCACAACGGGGGAGCAGCGGGGCGTGGGAGCAAGCGTGGTGCACAACGGGGGAGCAGCGGGGCGTGGGAGGTGAGGGGCTGAGATTCACAGCGTGAGGTGGGAGCGTGGGAGATTCACAGGGGTTACCTCCCTGTCCGTCTCCCTTGGGGGTGACCACAGTCTCACTTATAACACGTAATCGGACATTGAAGTGCGAGGACTCTCCCATTTCGATCACAGGCACATGCGATCGTGCGCAGATGGCAAACTGTTCGTTAGCGGTACGACCGTCAGTGGCAACGAGGTTGATACATGCCCTTTGGCGATTCATGTGGTGATGAAAGCAGTGTGGAGCGGGTTGATCGAGGCCTGGATGAGACGGGGGGAGCAGTGTACGCATTCCGCTGCGTCCTTGGAGTGCGATTGGTTTGCGCCGCGTGGTGCAATTTCGCCCCGTAATGGCAGTTAGGAATGCGATTCCCTAATTGCGCAGCCTGCTGTGTGACGCCACTGTGCGGGCGAGTTAGCGTCACTACCTCGTCACCTGTTGCGTACGCGGATATAGATCACGCTGTGTTCCCCTATGAACACTACTTCCCATCCCTAATCGCGTTGCGCGTGTTCCTGTAAGCCGTGGCGACTGTCGTATGTGATTTCGTAAGCCCGGCTCACTCCGCATCTGATGGCGTCTTGTCACACGAAGATTTGTGCTGCATCGCTCCTTGCTGCTTGAAGCCATCGGTGGCTGACCTAAACCCATTACTATTTGTGAAGAGCGTATGTTGTCCTTGGTGTCACCACTTACCTCGATCAGTACTCGAGCCTGTTCGTCGTCGCTTTACCACCACCACACGGTCTCCCCGGCGTATGTACTGATTAGGTCCACTGCTGGTGGGTGAGTGTGTTGTCTCAGATGCATCGCTCGTAATTGTGCAAAACAGTTGACCCTTGGGCTGGTTTAGGCGTGCGACAACAAATCCGTCGTCACAAATTGACGTGTTGGTTTGTCTTGGGAAATGAATGTTTGGTGGCGAGACTCGTTTGCACTTCAGTTTGGTTTCAGATTCGTCAGCCAATCAGAACACCCCTGTTTCCGTCGACTGCAAAGCACTTGAACTACTTGAGACCCTGGCTTTAACGTTGTTTGTTCCAGGTTCGTTTTGAATGGTTCATCCTGGTGCGCAATGGTCTAATGCGGTGAACGACCAAAACTGCGCCCAAACGTAGTTTACCGTATTCAACCACGTTGAACGAGCCCAGAACAATAAAGTATGACCCGCCCTTAGTGCTTTGCGAGGGGCTGTCGAAGTTGCTTCTACAAGATGGGATTTCCTTTCTGCAGATTCGACTCTAAATAGTGATGCGAGCCTTACACACGTAGTGTCCCGATTCTGGGCTGTCCGATTTTTTTCGACCAAGCGTCAAACGAAAAATCGTATGTCAAGCGTCAGCGTCGAAACGTTTTGACGGTTGGCGCAAGCCAGTCTGAGCGTTACCTCCAACTTACCTGCCATGATGGCGCCCGGCGCGCACAAGCCAGGCCACCACCGTCAGCTCACAGCGCAGCAGCAGCTGCCGGGCGGGCAGCAGCAGCACGGGTGCGACGTGGTGTCGCGTCTCCTCGCGCCCTTCGCCGTGCTGCTCCTCCTCGCCGCCCTCCTCGCCTACCTCGCCCTCTCCCACGCGCAACCCCCCCCGCCCGCGCTGCTCCTCGCCTCCACCAGCCGGCCCCCCCCGGCCGTGTCGCGGCGGGACGAGGAGGCGGGAGGCACGATGCGGTTCGACGGGGCGGCGAGGGTAGTGCGGCTAGCCGTGGGTGTGAAGGAGGGGGGAGATGGGGGTGGGGGGGAGGGGAAGGGGGCGGATGCGAGGCAGGACGCGCGCGGGTGGATGATTGACCCGCTTGCCGCAGCGGTGGCCGCTGGGCTGAAAGGTGAATGGCGGGGTGGAAGGTGAAGGGCGGGGTGGAAGGTGAAGGGCGGGGTGGAAGGTGAAGGGCGGGGTGGAAGGTGAAGGGCGGGGTGGAAGGTGTTGAAAACGAGGGTGAAGTCTGCCCTTGTGGGGAGAGGAGAGGAGAGGAGAGGAGAGGAGAGGAGAGGAGAGGGCGGGGTGGAAGGTGTTGAACACGAGGGTGAAGTCGATAGATAGCGGGGAGAGGAGGTGACGCTCTGCCTCCTCATGCCGTTCTGCCCTCATGCTTCCGAGCTGTTACGTGCGAGACCCATCTAGTACTCTTGATGACACTCAGCACCTGGTTCGCTCAACTCTAGGTAATCATCTCAAGCCCCTTTCCCCCCGCGGGTGCCCTCTGTGCCGCCCCTCCCCTTTCCTCCCAGGGGGTGCCACGTCATGCCTCATGACGCATGTGGGGGAGGTGCTACCTGAGAAGGTTCGTGGAAACCACCGGCACCATGACTACAACGAGACGTTGGTGCTGTGGGGGGCGAGAATGAGAGTGCGGGTGAGTCACAGCCACGACTGTTATTGTTCATGGGGGTGAGTGGAGCACGGAGAGGGCGAATGAGGGTGCGGTGGGGGGGGACGAGAGTGCGGGTGAGTGGAGAGGGGGGATGAGAGTGCGGGTGAGTGGCGAGGGGGGATGAGAGTGCGGGTGAGTGGGGAGGGGGGATGAGAGTGCGGGTGAGTGGAGAAGGGGGATGAGAGTGCGGGTGAGTGGAGAGGGGGGATGATAGTGCGGGTGAGTGAGAGGGGGGATGAGAGTGCGGGTGAGTGGCGAGGGGGGATGAGAGTGCGGGTGAGTGGAGAGGGGAAAAAGTGCGGGTGTGTGGGGGAATGGAAGTGCGTGTGAGTGGGGGAATGAGAGGTGAGGAGTGAGGGAGAGTGGAGGAATGAGAGGTGAGGGGTGAGGGAGAGTGGAGGAATGAGAGGTCAGGGGTGAGGGAGAGTGGAGGAATGAGAGGTGAGGGGTGAGGGAGAGTGGAGGAATGAGAGGTGAGGGGTGAGGGAGAGTGGAGGAATGAGAGGTGAGGGTAGGTCGAAGGGTCCATAGGGGTGGGTGGAGGCTAACAGGGTGGTTGAAACGGTTGGGTGTTGATGGTCAAGGCAGACGTGGTGTGGTGGTGGAGTGGTGGAGTGGTGGGGTGGTGGGGTGGTGAGGGCAGAGGTGGCCTGCTGCATGTGTGATCCACCTCACGTGCATATGCTGCCACTGTGATGCCACTGTGCTGCCACTGTGCTGCCACTGTGATGCCACTGTGATGCCACTGTGATGCCACTGTGATGGCACTGTGATGCCACTGTGATGCCACTGTGATGCCACTGTGATGCCACTGTGATGGCACTGTGATGGCACTGTGATGCCACTGTGATGGCACTGTGATGCCACTGTGCTGCCACTGTGATGGCACTGTGATGGCACTGTGATGGCACTGTGATGGCACTGTGCTGCCACTGTGCTGCCACTGTGATGGCACTGTGATGGCACTGTGATGGCACTGTGATGGCACTGTGATGGCACTGTGCTGCCACTGTGCTGGCACTGTGATGGCACTGTGCTGCCACTGTGATGGCACTGTGCTGCCACTGTGATGGCACTGTGCTGCCACTGTGCTGGCACTGTGCTGCCACTGTGATGGCACTGTGCTGCCACTGTGCTGTCATTGTGATGGCAAGTGTATGTGGAGTATCCAACAGGATGAATGACTGGCGTCGTCAGTGCCCGTTTCCTCATCACAGTCCCATCTCTCACTTTCCCGTGACAATGCTTCTTCTCTTCACACATTCCCTCTTCCCCATCCCATCCCCTCCCCCTACTGCTCCCTGTGACTCCTCCCCACAGAACGAGAACCGTGACGTGGCAAAGGGCTTTGCTGAGGTCATTCTGACAGCGGATGACGTGGCGGTGATGGCATGCCCAGCCATGAGCGCGCATGCAGTGGTGAACATCGACACGTCTCGCTCTGCGTACCTGATGGCGTGCCAAGATGGCCTGCACGACCCCAACGACCCTCGCTCTGACTATGCTGTCTGGCCCGACCTTGTGTGACGTCCGTTCATGCCCCTTGAGTCATGTCACACTGTAATATATATATATTCTATTTCATTTATGAGGTTTATCCTTAACACAGATACAGTGATACTGCAGAGCACCTGCGAGAATGAGCAGGTGCAGCCAGGGCAGTGTTGGCAGGTGAGGGAATGGAGCAGCGATGCTCCATCACAGCAACAGCAACAGCCACAGCCAAACCATCCTGCTTCACCCAACCCTGTTAGCATCTGGCAGCCCTCACTGTGAACCAGGTGCAGCCGTATTCCAGAAGTTCTTGCTGATGATGGTGCGATGCCTTGGAGTGCAGTGCAGTGGAGTGGAGTGGAGTGGAGTGGAGTGGAGTGGAGTGGAGTGGAGTGAAACAAAGCAGAAAGGGTCAGCCGTGGTGCAGGCGCACGGAGGCTTTGAGCTTGTTGAGAAAGAAGTTCTCCAGCCTGGGCATAGGGTGGGGTGGGGAGAGAGGTAGGGGAGTGGGAAAAGAAAGAAATGCAAAGAGGAAGTGGTGAAAAATGAGGCGAAGGAGAGATAGCGCAAGTTTTCTAAGGTTGCTTCCGCACCACATGTTGGAGCACCTGACACTTCACCTCAAATTCACCTGAAACCTCAAATTCACCTGAAACTTCACCTCAAATTCACCTGAAACTTCACCTCAAATTCACCTGAAACTTCACCTCAAATTCACCTGAAACTTAACCTCAAATTCACCTGAAACTTCACCTCAAATTCACCTGATGAGCACCCATACTTTCCACATTCACCTGTTGGCGCATTTGAAGTAGATGGTGTCAGGGGCGTTGTAGGTGCGGGCATTGGCGGTCATGCGGCGCATGTCCGCCACAAACATGTCGATTGTCACATAGAAGCTCTCCGCCTCCAGCCGCTTCTGCATCGTCCTCAGATCTGCCACGCCCCGGGGGTGCAGGGGGGCAGGGTGGCAGGGGAGTAGGGGAGGGTCGGCAAGGCGAAGACGGAGATGAAACGAAGACCGAAGTCGGTAGGCAGAGAAGCAGGAGCGAAGAAGGACTAGGGGAAGAGGAGCGAAATGGGATGGGTACACACAACAGTCAAGTGCATAACGGGGATGA